CCCTGGACGTGCCTGGTTTCGTAAGGAATCCGAGGAAGGGCAAAGGGTGAGCTGCGGTGCCTCAGCGCAGGAGCCCCGCCAGCTCGGGGGTCTGCTGTCCGCGGGCCCTGGAGGGGTGACTTCTGCAGAAGGGGCCCTGACAGCCCCAGCGCTTTCCTTTCCTATTTTCTTTGGCACCCACGTGCACGACCCCTTTTAGCCCGATTTCACCACATTCCCCACAGGGTTTTGACACAGCCCCTGGCCAGGAGGACTGGTCTGGACTTCATCAACGCCCTGGACATGAAGCAACCCTGGGCGATTTATCAGCGGGGTATATAGTTAGAGCTGAAGACATTGCTCAAGAGCAGCATTCATCCTCCAAGTTCCTGGGGTCCCTCCACCCTGCTCTTCCTGGCTGTGAGGTTTTCAGGGGTTCTACGTCCATGCGATACCTACTTGGGGGTTTTCAGAGGCCAATGCAATTTATTTTCAGGCTGGTATCCCAAATGTTACTGTTCCTCGTGGCGCCTGAGGCCTGCTAGTAGCCTTACCCTCTAATCACCGGTGGTCCGGGTCCCAGCGATGCTTGTGCCCAGCAGCGGGCGGAAGGCTGTTATCTAGCACACTTTGAATCTGAGTCTTGGGAGGAATTCTTGTTATAATAAACGCCTCTGGTAATGACAGATACCGTTTATTGAAACCCTTCACTCACATGATCTGATTGAATCTCCATAATCTTATGAAGTAGGTGCTGTCATCATTCCCCTTTTACAGATGAGAATACTGAGGCACAGAAAGGTTGAATGCTAGTGAGGGCAAAGCTACGCTTGGAACTCAGGCAACCCGCCTCCAGAGCGTGCACATATATAATAACCATGAAAATATATTTGTGTTTCAAAATAAAAGCAATACTGAACTGTAAAATAAGTATAATAAAGTTTTTAAATTTTTTCTTATGATGAATAAAAAAGAAAATATATTGCCTTGGTATAAGTGGTTTAGCATGTTCAGTCAACCATGGATTAAAAATATTCCAGAGGAACAAAGTCATGTTGCTGATGTGTATACTGTGTAATTAGGCCTAAAATGGGTGCATCTGTACTGAACCCATACAGACTTTTTTCTTGTCATTATTCCCTAAATAATACAGCATAATAACTATTTACATAGCATTTACATTGCATTAGGTATTATCAGTAATCTAGAGGTGATTTAAAGTATATGAGAGGCCCTAACCGGTTTGGCTCAGTGTCGGCCTGCGGACTGAAGGGTCCCAGGTTCGATTCCGGTCAAGGGCATGTACCTTGGTTGCGGGCACATCCCCAGTAGGGGGTGTGCAGGAGGCAGCTGATCAATGTTTCTAACTCTCTATCCCTCTCCCTTCCTCTCTGTAAAAAATCAATAAAAAATATTAAAAAAAATAAAGTATATGAGAGGATGTGTGCAGGTTATATGCAAACACCACTCCATTTTACAGGAGGGACTTGAGCACCACAGATGTTGGTATCCTCAGTGGAAACAACCCCCCATTGGTACCTGGGGATGACTGTGCTCATGGAGGCCTCAAGCACATTCAAGTTGGCTCCGCCCTACAATACACTGAGAACTTTCCCTGGCTCTCCTCACCTCTCCAGAACATCTGGACGTTGTGGCAGTAATTGTTTCTCTGCAGTGTGCCGGCACTGTGGCACCGTGAAGGTGAGGGCAGCCCACACTCCAGTGGCCTCTGTAACAGCTGTGTTCTTCTAGGTCCCCTTCTACACTGAGATATTCCAGACCTAGACTCGTCAATTAAAAGAAGAAATGGATTCCACTTTCATTTTGATTGGGTTTCCACTTGGCTAATCCTTGGTTTCTCTGCCCAGGTCTCTTTCTCCCCACCCAGGATTTCATCATTTTAGCCTCTCCTTTTTCCTCTTCTCCAACCAGTCCTTCAGCCTGGTGCCTCCTCAGGCACTTCCCAAGTTCTGTGCTGGATCAGTTTGCTGGGGCTGCCATAACAAAGGACCACAGACTGGGTGGCTTAAACACATTAAAGTATTGTCCCACAAGTTCTGGAGTCTGCAAGTTCAAAATCAAGGTGTGAACAGCGGGGGTGCCTTCAGAAGGCTGTGTGGGAAGCATCTGTTCCAGGCCTTTCTTTTGGGCTTGGGGATGGTCATCTTCTCCCAATGTCTCCTCACATGGTTTTCCCCCTGCATGTGTTTGTGCCCAAATTTCTCCTTATATGGACACCAGTCATATTGTATTAGGGTTCACCCTAATGACCTCATTTTAACTTGATTGCCTCTGTAAAGACTCTATCTCCAAATAACATCCATTCTGAGGTACTGGGGGTTATGACTTCAACATATAAATCTGGAGGGGAAGGGGGACACAATTCAACTCATAACATGTGACAACTGTCACTGGCTCTCCCCTTACCCCTCCCCACTCCAAAACACGTTTCTCCCAAACGCGTGCCTCTCCCTGGGTTCAGCCCTCAGTGCCGGTGGCTGGCAGCTCTAGAGTGGGAAAGGCACACAACCAGGCATCACAACTGGATTCCGTCCCCTCTGGCAGAGCCGTCCTGACGTTGGGAGGCAACCTCTTCTGGAAATAGAGGGCTAGACTAAATATTTTCTCAGGTTCCTTTCAGCACTAACACTTTAAAAACACACACGCTTCTCCCTAATTATTCCAAACTTAGAGGCCCAGTGCACAAAATTCATGCACAGGTAGGATCCCTAGCCCTGGCCAGTGATCAGGGCCAATCAGGTTCCCTGCCTCCCCGCCTCCTCCTTCCTTTGCCACCCGCATGCCAACGCTGCCGCTGGTCGCCCGCCATGTTCCGCGCCACCCCCTGGTGGTCAGCGCACATCATAGCGAGCAATTGAACTCCTGGTCTCACAGTCAAACTCCCAAGGGGACACTTTGCATATTAGCCTTTTGTATATATAGAAGTTTCACGGTTTGAAGGGCTGTCTTGTGACCATCAGACAGAGGGTATGATGAGAGGCAGGACTGCATAGTGGTTAAGAACACAGGTTTGGGAGTTGAGCTACTTTGCATTAAGCCCCATTTCATCCTCTGTAAGACAGGGATAAAAGTCTTAGTATTATTATAATAACAGTCTTATTCCTATAATAATAACCTAACACAGAAGGGTGTTGCAAGGACTGACAGCCCATGGCCTCAGTGTTCTCAATGAAGGTTCCAGACTCCATAGTTCAGGATTCCGTTTTGGGGACTTGGAAAGAAGTAGGAGACTTAAACCGTTTTTTCTACTTTCTTTTAGCCAAGCATCTCTTTAGCCAAGCGAACAAGAGCCGATTGGAGGCTGCAGTGGAACAAGTTTCCTAGTGGAAGTTTGAGTCTCTTTTTAAGTTGCTCTCACCCCATTACGTTTTTGGATTGATTAAAATTTTGTGGCTAATTCTGGCTAGATCCAATCTACATCTGCCAAAAACTGATTGATCAATCTACTAGAGAAGCTAAATAGAGTCAAAGTCCTTTGGGGGACAGGCTGAGGGGCAGGTTGACAATGGTCTTGTCTCCAAAGCTCCCACTTGTGATTGCCAACTGCAAAGTTGTGATTATTATTGATCTCCTACGCCCATTGCTTTTGAGCAGGGCCATCTGAAGTAGAGCTGCATCAATTGATAATGGCCAATGTGCTTTAAATTCCAGATCTTGGTAAGTGGATGATTAAAGAAAGGGTTGGCGTCAGTGGCTGGGTGTTTGTCACTCAATCTGTTTTGAGGCTACGTCTGCATTAGACAGATACCTGTCTCTCCCATGAAGCTGTAAGTGCTTGTTAATCTTCATATACCCCCACTTACCTGCAAGTCCTAGTATAGTATTTACACATCGTAGGCACTCGGTTTGTGAATTGGACACATTTTTCTATATATTCATATGTGATCAATGGCAACAAAGGGTGGAGCCAGGTTTTGTGGAGTCTGACGTTCACACAATTTAGGGGACCTCTTTAAGAAAATTACAAATATAAAGTTGGATATAAACAAAAATTTTTTAGAATGAAAACAGAAATATAGTAAAATACAAATTTAAAAAGTTTATAACACAAAAAATGTATAACACCATAAATTTCACAAAATCCAGAAAAATAACCTTAAAAAATATTAATTCTTTTCTCCTACCTTTGTAATAATTTTTAGACCCTACCTTTTGGCTGCATACTTGTTAATTGCTTCTTTACATTATATTTTTCATAAACTTTATTTATGGAACAGTTCTAGACTTACAGAAAAATTGCTCCTCTTGGCTGTGATAGTTTGTCAGATTATCCTTGTTTTGGGGAAGCTTGACCACTTAGAAGGGTACATACTGGCCATTTAATTTTGTAAAATGTCCTAATGGGATTTGACTGATATTCTTCTCATGATAAGCCTGGGGTATGGATTTTTGGGAGGAAGACATTTTTACAATTTTCTATAGAGAGAAGAGAAGGAAAATGCATTCTTTCCTTCCACAGGGTTGATGGAATTTTTTTAATTGACAGTTTTGATCAGACATTGATGAGAACTGAATCCATTGCTTTTCACTTTAAATAAGTGCTGATCAGAAGAATTTTCAATAGTATAACTTCTGACTATGTACCATTCATCCTGGTTTCTCTTTTACTCCCCACATACTTCCAGATGCCTTAGGACAGGCTGATAAGGAGATATGACTGCGGGCCCTCTGGACATAAGATGCTGGGGAGTTGAAAGAGAATCTAGAGGTAGTTCTGGGAACATGGGAAGGTTAGAAATATACATACAAGAACTGGAAAGCCCATAAATATATCTCCCCAATCCCAAAGTAATATATTCCCAACTCCAGTTCCCTTAGCTGGGTTCTAAAAATGAGCTGGCCATTTTAGCACTCTCAAGGGAAGATGGTGATAGAGGGAACCTGGAGCAGAGAATGGCAACAGTATTAACTGATTACAGCTAAATTATCTTTTGCAAATTTTGCGGAAACATTTATGTGAATACGTGGCTAGCACCTTCAGTGAACTAGGGCCCTAGTGAAGCTGTGTTAACATCCATAGTCGGCAGGACTCTTTCAGCATTATTGTGCTACGGCTCAGATTTGCTGATACAGCTCTCTCAGACTTCCAGCAATAAGGAAGAAGGATATTTCCACCAAAAGAACACTTTTCTGTAAGTACTGATGATTATCACATGGTCTTCTCTATTTAAGCTATGGTCCTTCCTTCTCCCACATCCTTTTTCTTTCTTAAGTGCACTTGATCCACTGACATCATTAACTTTATGATGGAGTCAATGAGTTCTCCCAGCCTCACTGGTCAGGCCCTCTCCCAGCATGCAGTGCTGCTCCAGCATAGTTGCTAGATAAAGTCAGGGATTCCAGAAGTCATCCTGCTCCCCCACAACACCTGACTTTCTGTGTCTTGAGGTGATTTGACTTTATTTAGTCGATGTTGAATATCCTATATAATAAAAGCATAATATGCAAATTGACCGAATGGCCGAACAGCAGAACGACCATCCGGACAACCATCTAGGACTACGCTATGACACCCACTGGTGCCAGGTCAGCTAAGGCGGGTGCAATGCGATTGATCGGGGGCCCGGCCATTGCCCCATGATGGCACTGCAGAGGAAGGCCCATGCCACCGACCAGCGGGCTGCAGCAGGTGGGTGGGGCCTCCTCTGCGAGGGAAGCCCGGGTCCCGGATGCTGGAGGGAAGCCAGTGCCGGCAGCCAGGGGAAGGAAGGCCTACTCTTGCATGAATTTCGTGTATTGGGCCTCTAGTAAATTATAAGTATCCCAATCTTCCAATTCAACTAACTTCTCAATGTCAACCAGTAAAATTCTAACTCTTTACAAGAATTTCTAGGATGTCCTTCATAACCTGTTCCTGCTTTCCTCACTGGACAGCTCTCTAGCCACACCCTCTCCAAATAAACTTTACTGTAGAAGAAGGTTTCTGTATCTGCATTTAACAGATATGCTTCAATGGCGCACACAACTGAGGGTGGAAACAGGCAGCAGTCTCCAGCGCACCAGCCTGCAGGCAGTCTTCTGGCGGGCTTACCCAGACAGCAGTCACTCTATTCACAGGGCCCTGAGTGTGGGATCCTGAGACAGGGCCTAGGCTGGCACTGTCACTGTGATCAGATGGGTAAGTAGTCTGTCACCGTGACTAAATGAACAAACAATATATGTCACAAGAACCTATGATCCCATTGGACCTAATGTTTTAAAATTTTGATATGTTTGACAAACTTCCATAAATTCAAAAATTAGTCTTTCTTAACCTGAAAATAACTTTGAGAATATTTATCAGGATCCCTGAAACATTTCAAAGAATGTCTCTTCCTCTCTGTAAAAGAGGGGAATTAAACTAATTAAGTCTATTTGATATGTTTAAATTATATGGAAAGCACTGTCAAATAACAGTAACAATTGTGTTATATTCATATGCACATATTACTGTTATTAAAAGAAATATTATAGAAGTTGTATAAAATTTCTAAGAATCCACAATGTCCTGATAAAATGTTTTTATTTGCAATTCGAATTACACTAAAATATGTGTTGAGAAAAACAAATCTGTCATTTGCATTGTAATCTGGTCTTTAACAGTCATTCCAAGTCGGTCATTTATAGGGTCACTGTCTTACTCTGATACTTTTTGCAAAAATGTTTCCTCTTCAGAGAGACTGGTGGAGAGGACTCTGACACTTACTCTAAAATACAGGTTTCTGAGCCATTTTCAGATCATATCATTGAACTGAGTAGGAATTTTCAAAAGTCTAAAGAAAAATTGGATTCATAAATCTGCTAACAAAAAAAAATCAAGATAAATAAGAGTTAATGACATGGGACTGAAAGGACAAAAAGATGTGTGGACTGAAGGCTAGGCTCTACCCTGCACAGCACAGTGCTGAGGAGACACAGATGAGAGGGACCATCAGGAAGCGTGAGAAGAGAAACACCAAACATAAGAATGACGAAGAGTCCCCAGGGTGAAGTCCCTGCTCATCTGCTGGGCAGAGAGGGACCCACCCCAGCTAAAGCACTTTCCAAAGGGATGAAACAAAAACGAAAAGAGAGAGTGGCACAATGGGCAGCCAGAGTCCGTGCCCAGGGAGACACAGGGGTATTAAACGTTATCCGAACAGGAAAGAGAAAAAAGAAAGTGTCGAAGAGGCTGGTTACCAAAGTCTGCTTTGTTGGAGGTGGCTTTACTTGAAAACCACCTAAATATGAAAGATTCATCAGGCCCATGTAACACAGCCTGCACTGAAGGCCACCTTTGTCCTGCCAGTATTTTATGTAAAGAAGAAACCCTCATCCCCACTTCATACAACTTTGGGTGTTATCAGCAAAGGTGCTGTCATCAAGGTGAATGTGAGCGAGTTGGGCCTTGTGACGTGAAAATATGCCCGGGTTACCAGCCATCCTGAAAACGATGGATGCATAAATGCAGTCTTACTGGTTTGACAGCAAGTAACTCCTTATAATTATTGAAGACTGTGCACCGATCAGGAAAGCTCCTTTACTGTGATGTTCCTGAGTACTAGCTCACAGTTTACATGTCTGCAGTCATTAAAATGGCCCAGTTTACATAAAAAGTACAAAGAAGTGGATGGAGTTAATTTTAATATGTTATTGAACCCAGTATGCCCAAAAATAGTATTTCAACATGTAATCCATATCAAAACTTTAGAGAGATGTTTTGCATTCTTTTTTTTAAACTTGGTCTCCAAAATCCATTGTGTATTTTATACATACAGCACATCTCAATTCAGACTAACAATATTTCAAGTGTTCAACTGCCCCAGGTGGCTCTTGGACGAGACAATCTAAAGGGTGTTGTACAACTTTGCTTCTTGACGTGCAAACCCATCCCCTCTGCCCCGCTGGTCATCTCAAGACACTGGGGACTGTGTGGAGCTCCAGGGAGCTGAAAAACGGTGAAGTGGAAACTCTGAGGATCACAGCCCCAGAGCACAGCTATCCGTCCACACAACCTGAGGCCCAGCAAAGGCAGCCTGATGATGCAGGTGCCACCATCGCCCACATCGGCATCCGGCTGTCCTCAGCCACACCTGGGTAATTAGAGATCCACTAGAGGAGAATTGCTGTGTGCTTCTAAAATGAGAGCGTTGCCACCATGGTAAATAAGTTTATCAGCAAAGTTAAAGAAAAGTTGGTGTTCGGTTGAGTTGGTGAATTGAGTTGTCTCAATCCCGGAGTCTCCCTAGATCCCCTCGGCTGTCCCCGTTCCCTGACGTGTGCAGTGGCTCCATGGACAGCATTTCTTCTCTGAATCCCAGCCCCCGGGCACGGCAGGGCTCAGTCTGTGTTCAGTGAGTGAACACAGGAATGGTAAGCTTGCTCCGTGACTCAGGGGAGGAGAAAGCGTGAGATATGATTTTGAAATTGGTTCCTTCTTCGAATGACAGATACAGACAAAGACTAATGTCTTTTCTGACATCTCCTCTCTGGCAGACTCAGCACAGACGTTTTTCTTTAACGAGTATTCATCATAGCTGCCTGCTCTTCCACCTCACAGGTTCTGCCAAGGTCAACAAGAGCAGGTCTGGAGGACAGCGGCTTTGGAAACAAGAGGGATACAGAGGTCAAACAGAAAGAACTGGTCTTCCACGGTGAGGCGGGGCTTCATCGGGGACCCCCCTCTCAGGAACTGCTACTTCCTCCCACCACTTCAAGGCTGCTGTGCGACATGCCCACGGCAGTGTCTACTTTCCCGGAAGATTCCATGTCTCGGGACAGATTCAGCCCAGCACTGTCATGCATGTTGAAATTGGCCTACTCTGTCTGTCTCTTGCCTTCCTGGTTCACCTGCTACCTCACTGGAGAGTCTGAACACTAGGTTCTCCTCTGGTTCCTGAGCCTGGAGCTATGTCTCACATGGGCATCCGCACAAGGAATGAGAAGCCTGTGATAATGTGGGGTCTGAGAAGCAGCAGTCAAGGGTTTGGTTAGGGAGCTGCAGACAGGGAGCTCCCTGCAGACTTTAATGGGCTTGGCCTGGAGAGAAGGAGAGGAAGGAAGGTGTGTGGCCTTCCTTGGCCCCCATGCGATCTCAGGAAAGTTGAGCAAGGCCAGGAGGTCCCAGGACAAAGTCTCCAGTGAGAGGAGTCCCATGTGTCCCAGGAAGGGGCCTGTTCCACATGCCCCTGCCACACCCAGTCATTGGCCAGGAGCAGCCTGTGGGAAGGGTGACCTCAGCAGAGGCAGAGATGGATGTTAGAGCAGAGGACAGCGGCTGGTGCCGGGCCCATTATGCTGCCGGGGGCTGGAGGTCTGCAAGGTGCATGCTCCTGGCTGCTCTCAGGCTGTCTCAACAACAAGCGGTGTGGGCCCGGCTCAGCCCGTACACAGAGCGAGCACCACGTGACAGGATGGAATGTGCCCTGGAACTGGCCTTGAGGTCCTGGGTCAAGGCCCTGATTGTTACTCACTAGCTCTGTGACCTTAGATACAACCTCTAAGTGCCTTGGCTTCTTGATCTTAAACGCACACCTGCCTCACAGTGTTGTGTAGAAGGAAATGAACTTGTGGTAAAGAGTACTTTGTACAGTGTTGATATGAATGCTCACATGGTGAACAAAATCAACAAAGCACCGCTATTGGAGACCAATGACAGGACGTCTGCATTCTGTCATAAGGAAAGTCTGTGGCAATGATAGGACTGTCCATCTTTGTGGTTCCATTTGTACAACACTGCACACTATTCCAGCATTCAAATTCTACAGCATCTCAACCACTTCAGAGATGTTAGGTTTTTAATTGAATTTATTATGGTGACATTGGTTAATAAAAGTATACAGGTTTCAGGTATATAATTCTACAATACATTATCATCTGTATTGTGTGTTTAGCACCCCAAGCCAAGTCAGATTTTAAAATTATGTTCTGGGCAGATATTTATAAAATTTTTTCAATGCACAAGGATTGGAGAAGATAAAGAGTATTTCTGAAAGGCCCAAAATTTTACATAAGATAGATATATTCCGCAGCTCCTGAATAATTTGAGGGTGACAATAATTCATGGAGAGCAGTGGTACTTGCTCACTGCTCACTGCTTCCCCTTCTAAATGGGGAAGATGCTGGTGGTGGAAAGCTGTTGAGTTAAAGAACACCCCTCAGTTTTTATTCCAGGAAGATGCTGAAATGTCAAAGGCTGGGGAGCACCTCTTAGGAATCACAGGGTGAGGTCACAGGCATAAGCAGTGGCTCTGAGACCTCATCTGACACTCAGATTCCAGGGCGGACTCACTCTTTGGTGAAGGATGCTAGGAGATGAGGAGCCTGAAGCTGGAAGAAGAAAACTGGAAAGACTGTGGATTTTTTCCTAAATAGTTGAAAGATTCAGAACTGTCTAGATTTTATTCTGGAAAAAAAAAAGAGTTAAAGTAGATAATCTGATATTAGAATCTGTGGTTCTGATGTGAGCTCTGGGGTTATGAGTGAATGAAATTAGACGTTGGACTGGTAGGAACCGGGTAGCCAAGGGTGGAGGCTAAACTCACAGAGTGAGTCACACCCTTAACAATTTACTTGACTATGAGGAAACAGGTCACCCCACATCAGGACACCCCCAGACAGAAGACTCCCCAGCCAACCAGGCAACTTGTCTGTCTGCTGATCTCCATGCAGTGTTTGTTTCATGTTGCCACCACCCAAAGATTACAGCAGCTATTCTCCTTAAAGACAGACCTGAAGTATGGCTTTCCCAACTTCTCTGTCCTTCCGACCATGTTGCCTCTTCCACTCTCGGCAGTCCAGGGCCCATAGCCAGTCCAAAGGGCACAGGTCTACAGCAAGAGGAATAAACTCCTTTTGCTCCCTTGCCCTGAATAAGCAGGGCTCCCGAAAGTGTGGTCCTCGGATGCCAGCATCAGAGTCACCTGGAGAGCTGGTTACGGAGGAGATTTCATCAGCCCCACCCAGACCTACTTATCTAGAATGTCTGGGGGCGGGACCCAGAACCCACATTCTCTCCCCCAGCCCCCACCCACACTCATTTTCCCCAAGTGATCCTTTTGCACACAAAAGTGTGAGAACCAGTGAAGGGATCGGTAAGCTCTCAGGTCAAAGATCCTGGGGCTTCACGGCCCTGGTTTCAG